TTTCCTAGGAGCAGTGATAGTTTGTAAGGAAAATTCATTCATCAATATATCATACGACCCTTGATTTTCAAGGCGCCGGAGCACCATCTCTGTTGTTCATTCCCTCACCCCACATATCATACGACTGTCGCTCCCTGAGCAGCGCGCCGGAGCACCGCCCAAAATCCACCACCAACACCATCACTCAACGGCCTTGTAGCCCAGGCCGTGAACCTAACAGCCAAGACTAGTTCCTCTATCGGCTATAATCGTTTGATTAGAAGACGAGTTCAAACAGGCGCACTACTTATCCATCCTACACTCATCAACCAACTCGACGCACGGTAGACCGTGCTGGCACGCCCGCGCACAACCGCACCACACCCAAAAGCAGGAAACCGCGTGTCAACGCACATCCCCTCGGCCCGGAACTCCAGGCCTTGAGATTTGCACGGCAGACACTTTTGGCACGCCCGTTGGGACTTTTGTCAAAAACTTATGGTGGAAACTAGGGCACAGGCAAAGCTCAAAAACAAAGCAGTCGAAATGACTTCTGAGACTCCTGAGTCCACTTCACCAGTCACTATCACCGAGACCGAACATATGTCGGGATCTCGGCTAGCGTTCCAGTAACGACGGAACGTACGGCCGAGTCCATGTAGGAACAGGCAGTAGTGGAGGAGCTGATGTCCAAGCAAGCCTACAGGATAGAAACATCCTTCATGGCCGCAATGGACAGGTTCTCCTCGGAACTGCGAACGCTTTTTCAGGAGAGGATGCCCGCGACACCTCCCAGACCCGGACCGAGGAGCCAAGAGCGCGAGAGAATCGAGCCTTATGGCGAAAGCAGCAGCCTCGGCGTATCGGCCCACACCCAAGCATCAGGCTACAGCCAGCATTCTTTGCCACCAACAAACAACTGGGGGCAGTCTCAGCCCACATGGGCGAATTCGGGACCAACCTACTCGGCGGAGACGGCGCGAGGACCATTCCATGTGTTGGCCGTATCACTAGGGTACGGCAGCCTCGCACATCCTGCGACCCATCCACTCGGCCCAGTTCACACTGCAGCCGTCCACACCCATCCTGGCCCAAGCAACGCGACAGCCGTATCATCATAGCAGTACGGTCAGAGCAATCCGACCGTTCCACCACCATTACAGGCGTCGTTGTTTTCATTGGGCTCTCACCCTCACTACAGTTCGGCCAATCCACCGGCAACACATCCGCACCTTGGCCAGGCCCACGGCGCTCACCTGGCGTCAACCAGCGCGGTCATCCCGACCGAGCCCCTTGTTCAAGTGGTCCAACAGAGCACTCGGCCGAATGCGGCCCAGCAAGAGGCGCCACCTCAAGGGGTCCGATTCGAAGATGTCCGGCGAATGATCGAAGATGGCCTAGCCCAAAGAAGGCCGGACGTACCAAGATACACGAGGCCGTACCCATCAGAGATCAACCGAATCCCTCTTCCCCGGAACTATCGATTGCCAGAATTCATGCTATTCTCCGGGGATGGGCAGACCTCCTCCATTGAGCACATAGGCCGTTTCACGGCCCAGTGTGGAGAAGCCGATTCGAACGCCCAGAAACTCCACCTGTTTGTCCATTCTTTGACCGGCGCCGCGTTCTCATGGTTCATAAACCTTCCACCGAACTCAATAAGGGATTGGTCTGATATGGAAAGGGCATTCCATGAACATTTCTATCAGACCAACCGAGAAATAACGGTCGCCGAGCTGGCAAGGATGAGCCAGGCGTCGGACGAATCACCTCGCGATTACCTACAGCGATTCAAAACATGTAGGAATTGGTGCCGCACGAGCCTGCCGGAGCGGGAGTTCGTCAAGATGGCCGAGGAAGGCCTGGAATTCGAATACCGGAAGAAATTCCAGGGAATCGAATTCCGGGACATGCATGACTTGACCAACAAGGTGGACAGGTATGCGTCCGTATTAAAGGAAGAGATGCAGAAGAAGACGGCCTCAAAGGGGACCTACTACAGGAATCCCATCGTCAGCTACGCCGAAGCCGATGGTTCCGCGGAGGCCGAGGGCGAGGAGGTAGAGATGAGTTCGGCTGAAGTCAGCATAGACAAACCCTTCGTTTGCAGAGGGCTTGTTAAAACTGACAATAGCCGCACAAAAATCCCCGACGCCAACTTCGCAACGTGGGAAACGAAGGCCTACACTTTTGACTTGACAAGGGCCGAGGCTATCTTCGACCTGCTATTGGCCGAGAAAAAGGCCAAATTGTCCTTCGGCCATAAAATTCCGAAACCCGAAGAGCTCAAAGGGAAAATGTTTTGCAAATACCACAGTTCTTGGTCTCATAACACCAACAACTGCGTTGTCTTGCGAGACGTTATCCAGAAATTAATTGACGAAAAGAAGCTCCAGTTTCCGGAGAAGGCGGCCATGCAAGTCGACTCCAAGCCGTTTCCTCCACCCATCGTCAACATGGTCAACGCCCAACTCCCAGCCGAGCATAGGGAAGCTCGGTGGAAGGCGAAGGAAATAGGGCCATTGACCGAAACGGAGCCATTGCTTTGTGAGCAATGCAAGCATGAAGTTGGTCGGCCCAGGCCGCAGGAGAACAAAAGGAAGGCCGCCGAGCCATCTCAAACGACCACAAAGACAGTCGGCGGTCAGTACGACCGTCGGTCGGCCAGCAGAGCTGTTTTCAGCCGACTGGGGCCACGAACTCCCGATACCTCGGTGGGTTACAAAGACGAGGCCGCCCCTAGGCCATTGAAAACTTTCAAACCACCATTCATACAAGATGACTATTGGTATCATGCACGGCCTGGGGGCAGGGCCGAACCACTAACGAAAACCCAGCTGAGGAGAATGCAAAGACAGGTTCAGCAGGCTAGAATTCAGACGACCGAGGCCGAAGGCTTCAAGCGCCAAAGAAAAATGGCGGCTACAGACGGGCCATCATCCAAGCCGGTTGTTCCCTCACCAGCAAAAACGGCCAGCACCAAGCCTTTGAGAGCATGGCGTGCTAGGAAGGACAAGAGTCCCCATGGATCATCAGCCATTTCAGTTCAGCCAAAGGCCGCGGTCATGGGGAAGGCAGACGAAGGTGTCGTCGACATCTACAGCGGGAGGGACCCCCCTTTCTCGGCCAACGGTTTGTCCTTTCTCAGAGAATTCCATAAGGACTATTCGGCCACGGATCTGTACGGCATGACCCCCGAAAGCCGTGAAATCGTGGAATTGGCTCTCAAAAACGCAAAGGCAGAAGCGCTCCTCATCACCAGCGGATTTGACTCGGCCATTAAGGCCGTATACCAGGCAAACAGGGACGATTTAGAGTATCTCCGCCAGTATTTTTCTGTAACTCCGGCGGACAGTCTTTGGCCTGACGACTGAGGAAAAAGCCCGGGTAAGCCGATTAGATTTTACTTGACGGCCAGGGACACATTGGCAAAGGCTAAGCGGGCCCTCAAAGAGGAAGTCGAAACCTCGGACCCCCCTGAGATCAAAGCATCCACGACCGGTAGCCCAGGGGCCGCGAGACCTCTGATCGAAGGTTTCGGTGATCCTTTTTTCGAGCATGAGGCCGAGGACGACCCCGCCTTAGGAATTTCCGATGAGGAATATGAGGGAATCCTCGGGATGATCGAGGAAACGGTCTTCGCCAAAGACGGCTCTGAGGCCGAAGAAGAAGCTGGCAGGGGAAACCCGCGGGAGCCGGAGGAAGTCGGCATCAACATGGTCATGGTGCTACCATCCGAGTTTTCAGCTCTAGGGGGACAGACCGACGGCCTGGAGGATGACGTGGCCGAAGAGCAGTTTGAACTAAGGCCAAGGACAAAGGAAGAATTGTTGGCCGTGGCGTTTAACGAGGTGATACCGAGAGACGAGCCGAACAAATACCGGCACTTGAAACCGTTGTACATCTCGGCTCACATAGAGGGTGTGCCCATATCCAAGGTTTTCGTTGACTGTGGGGCGACGGTCAACATCCTTCCTTATTCCTTGATGAGGAAGCTAGACAAGTCAAAGGAGGGCCTCATCCCCAGCGACGTGGTCATGAGCAGCTTTGTCGGCGATAAGTCTAAGACCATTGGCGTATTGCCCTTGAAAATTACCGTGGTGGACCAGACAAGGGTCACGGCCTTCTACGTGGTCGAGTCCAGCATCGACTACAACATACTGCTCAACCGCGATTGGATCCATCAGTCTGGGTGTATACCGTCCTCTCTCTTCCAGCTATTATTCTTTTGGGACGGCCAGAAGGTGTCTATACACTCGGCCGATGAAAAGCCTTTCGAGGCCAACGTCGTACAAGCTCGGATCTACGACGACGACATTGGATGGGTTGTTCTCACCGGCCATGATGCAAACGGCCGACCAACTAGAACAACGGCCCAGAAAGTACTGGAGTTAGGCGCCGAGAATATCCGACAGGATTCGGCGCGCGAAGTATTGATCGACCTCACCAGCCTTTAGATGACAGACAAGGCCACTAAAGAGGAGGGGGCAGCGGCCGTGAAGGATTTGATAGGAAGACTACTGGAACATTGGGCGCAGGAATCCTTACGGCCAAATTCACCAATCAACCTGATCGAATTCCTCCACGAATCGGACGAGGCGGACGCTTTGACTCTGGACGACCTAGAAACGGCGCCTGCTGAGCTGGAGGATGACTACCCTGAACTCCAGGACCCTTTGTTAGAAATAAATGTAGGGTCGGAGGCTGAACCACGGCCTCTTTTTGTAAGCGATCTTTTGGATCCTGAGTTAGCGGCCGAGGTTATCGGCCTGCTCCATGAATATAAGGATTGTTTTGCTTGGGATTATCACGAGATGCCTGGGTTGCCAAGAAGTTTGGTCGAACACAAGTTCAGAATCAAGGATGGGTTCAAGCCTTTCCAGCAGCCGCCAAGGCGTTTCTCGATCGAGGTACAGCTCAGGGTCAAGGAGGAAATAGAACGGCTCCTTAAGGCCGGCTTCATCCGAACAGCCCGGTACGTTGAGTGGCTAGCCAACATCGTACCAGTTTTAAAAAGAACTGGGGCTTTGAGGGTTTGCACCGATTACCGAAATCTGAACCTCGCAACCCCCAAGGACGAATACCCCATGCCGGTGTCAGACCTCCTGGTAGACGGGGCCGCCAAGCACGAACTCTTATCTTTCATGGACGGCCATGCGAGTTACAACCAAATTTTCATAGCCGAGGAGGATGTCCACAAAACGGCATTTAGGTGTCCAGGAGCAATCGGAACCTATGAGTGGGTAGTCATGCCATTCGGCTTAAAGAATGCCGGCGCGACATATCAGCGAGCTATGAACCTAATTTTCCACGACCTCATAGGCCGGACCGTCGAAGTCTACATCGATGACGTGGTTGTAAAGTCCCCATCCAAAGCCGACCACGTAG